ATGCTGATAAAATTTTTAAAATTTTATTTATTTTCGAACCCAAATAAAAAACTTCTTGTATGAAACAGGGAAAATACGTGTTCAGCAATATAATAGATCAAAAGACGGTAGGATGTGAATGTGATGTTGTTGCGCAGTCCGGATCTTTTTGACTTCAACTTCAGCACCTATACCCATATTTCGTTAGTTTTCAAAAAAAGTTGACTTGAATAGACGATTTTGACGATTGCTTTTGATCTTAAACTATTGTTTCGTAATCTTTTGTGCATATTTGTTCGAAAGGTGATATTTCCTCAGTCTTTTTTCCTAAAGAAAAGAAATACAACTGTTTATGGCCAAAAACAACTGTAGTAAATTTTTCAAGAATGACGAATAACACTTCAGGTAACATCTACAACAGAGCGCGAAGATTTCCAACCTCATTCAACAAGGATCAGTTGCACGCAAAATATTGATAAAAAAATGGATAAAATCAAATGTAATTATTTGTAATAGATGTCATCGAGAAACTAACTCGTACACCAATTATAATCGATTTTAATCGGATTATTTGCCTTGCTTTTTTTGCATGGGTCATACCTTCCATGAGTGCAAAATTTCTAAGTTCTCTTAAGTTCTCTTTCCTGAATAGGGATGTATACATTTATACGTAACCTTAGTATGTATCAATTAGTGAAGTTTCTCTAGTGTTGTTTCCCCTTAAAGGAAATTCATTTTATTGAAGAAAGATCGTTTTATGCGACTGTGTTGGAAGTGTAAGATGGGCTTGTGATGAGTCTAGATGGGTGACCGATCAATTCGTCACGATCAATTCGTCGCAAAGCAATTCGTTGCACATGTATTGTAGAGAATACATTGATTGAATTAAGTGATTTTGTTTAGAATGTTATCTAATTAATCGCCTAAAGAAAAATTTTTCTTTAAACTCTTAGGAGTCTTTTTCAGAATACAATGGTTCTTCAAAAATAAAATGGAGATATCAATTTAAGGTCTATTTTAAAATTTAATTTAAAAAAATTTAGAATCGATTTTAAATAAATTTCATGTTTTCCAATTGAAATTTAACTTTTTATTTAAAAAAAAGCTGAAAATTAAAACAAAAATATAAAATCGAAAAAAATTTCAGAAATCTAATCTAAAAAAAATTAAAGTTTGATTTTAAATAAAATTATATGTAGACAAATTAAAAATAAATTTCATTTTTCTTTCATTAAGGGGTCAAACACACAAGAAAAATTAAAACTGAATTAAGAATCGTGATTGATTAATTCAGATTTAAATCATCTTTTTAAGACGAATTAGTGGTTAATTCAGTTTTAATTTTTCTAGTTTGTTTGACCCCTAAAATTCATGTTTTCAGTAAATAAAAAACTTTATTTTTTTTAATTTAGATTTGTAAGATTTGTTTTCAATTTTATATTTTTGTTTTAATTTTCAGCGTTTTTTAAATAAAAAGTTAAATTTCAATTGGAAAAATGAGTTGTATTTTTCATTTATCTACATAGAATTTTATTTATAATCAAATTTCAATTTTTTTAAATTAAATTTTAAAATAGGCTTTAAATTGATATCTCTATTTTATTTTTGAAAAACCATTGTATTCTGAAAAAGACTCCTAAGAATTTAAAGAAAAATTTTTGTTTAGGCAATTAATTAGATAACATTCTAAACAAAATCACTTAATTCAATCAATGTATTCTCTACAATACATGTGCAACGAATTGTTTTGCGACGAATTGTCGTGCGACGAATTGATCGTGCGACGAATTGATTGCGATGAATTGTACGCGACGAATTGTCGTGCGACGAATTGTACTAGTGCCTCTAGATGTGCCTCTCTAGTGGTCACACGCTGTAGCATCTCTCTTCTGTGGTAGGAGTTCTGACACTGATGTTTTTAAGACACACAGTTGACTAATATTATTTGATTAGATGAGATGTTTTCTAATGCTCGTAGCCTTCATTTCAGGATATAAGTTTTATCTTACTTTTTGAATGCATTTCATTTGATTCTTTCATATGAGAGTCTTCTTCTGAAGAGTTATGATTTAGTTCTTCTGTATCTAGTTCACAACGTCGTGGAGATTTTGATTTTTTCGATTGATTATAATCAGTTGTTGAAAAACATTCATCGGAATCACATTTATCACCCCTCTTTAAAAGATCTGCATTGATCTCTACTTGACATTTCATTTTATTTGGTACACTATTTGAATAATATTTATCATGTAATCGACAAATTAGACTTTGAAGATATTTTACTGATCGTTGATGAATAAGATATGCAACAGTTGATGATGAATTTTTATCTTGACCTTCATTCAATATGATCCGTGAAATATGTTCATCTTTTACTTTTAATAATTTCACTAGTCCTTCCTTGTTTGCTGTTATTGGAAGATTACTTATTCTTAGTCGATAAAAATTACTTTTACATTCTATAGAACAAATAAAACAAAGTGCAAAATAATTACCTTATTTATCAGTAAACTAACCTTCATCGTCATCTTCAATATTTGATGTTACTTGTCGTTTTCGACTATGCCCATAAGGACATTGTTCATCAGGACAATTCTCCGGTTGATTGCACATAATATGTTTAAAAAAACATTTAATTTCATAATTACATAAGCCGGTTCTATAATTTCTACATAATTCAAACGGATAAATTGGTTCAGAAGTAACATCACACTTTATTTGAAATCCGTGTAATGTTTTATTTGAATTTTTATTAGCTAAATTTCGTGCTTGTCTCTCATCACCAATATTATTAATCCAAGCTTCACTATCTACTGATTTGTCTGATGCTAAAGATTCATAACGTCGAAATCCTGGTTTAATAACAATATTGGCAACAGGTTTATTAAATATTTGCGACAACTCTTCACCTGTTACATCAGGAGGTATATTAGTTACATGAATACAAAATGGAATTCCAGTACTACGAATAATATTACCTTAAATAAATCAAAAAAATATTTTTGTTTGATTAATTCGGTATTTAAATGAAAATATTTCTTTCTTTTTAATAATTATTTGTACTTAGGTGTATCCAAAAGTAGTGTCGGCCGCATCTCAATTTCTTATAGAAGGCTTGAAGAAGTTTTCTTTTTTTGTGAGGTGATAGAGAAAACGAAGCTCTATTTTTCTATGCTATTGCATCCCTATTCAACTGTTATCATAATAATAAAATTTTTAGAAGAACTATTTTTGTGTAAAACTTCACTTACGCGTAACTACTCTTTCCATTTCAATTTCTAATTATTTAATACGTTATATTAAACAATAAAATATACCATAAGATGCGGCGTGAAAAGCTCTACAATTTATAAAGAGCAGCTTATTTTATATATGAAATAAGAAAAAGGAATTCTTCTTCGTATGACTTTTTTGAGGCAGCGAAAATTGGTCACACAGGATTTCGTTTTTTTTTGGTACAATTAAAATAAGCTTTACTTTGTAGATTGTAGAGCTTTTTACGCTGCATCTTGTGGTATATTTTGTTTTCTAATACAGCGTATTAAGTGATTGAAACACTTAAGCCCCCCCCCCCCCCCCTCAAAATTCGATCTCAGCTCCAGAACATCGTGATAGCATGACACTTTGGGGATATGTTGGAGATGTAAAAGTGCGTCTATGATAAAATTTTCAGCCTCCTATCCTGATGCACAAGGTAGATACGAACCAAAAAAGGGTCGAAAAATAGCTTATTGCCGCCCCCAAATTTCTTTATGGGTATTCATTCAATATGGTTCATGGTTTTTTCACATGAAAGAGCATATCAGGATGCAGTGCCTCTGAGGGCCCTTTATTTTTATTCGTATTTTTAATAAGAAAAAAAAAGCTTCACAAATTCAATCACTCAAAAAGTCTTCAAAAAAATCATGCTTGTGCTATAAAGTCGCTTTTCAAAATAATAAGAAGAAAGCTTTATCAAAAAAAGGCCCTCAGAGGCACTGCATTCTGACATGCTCTTTCAAACAAAAAAAAATATTTGACTTTATATCGGATTATAACTGACTTTTCGTGGGTACGCGTCATTTGACTACAATGTTGAGAAAACAAGAAAAAAAATTTTGAATGTTTTCAAAAACCGCTGCTTTTTCGAATAGGGGTTGTTGAAAATCTTTAAAATTTCTGAAAAAAAAGCGGTACCGAAGAAAAATTTTTATCGTTTATATAAGGGCAAATGATAGGCTATATCCCTGTATATTTATCTCAATCACCATGATTTTGACGAAAAGTGACTTTTTTGAGGAGGGGCCTTAATCTGCCTCACCCATTAGTGAAGTTTTACATAAAAATAGTTCGTCTAGAAATTTTATTATTATGATAACAGTTGAATAGGGATGCAATAGCACAGAAAAATAGAGCTTCGTTGTCTCTATCACCTCATGAAAAAAAAACTTCCTCAGGCCTTCTAGAAGAAATTGAGATCTCGGATTTATATCCGAGAGTATGTGTACTTCAAAAAGTGAATGAGACAAATCAGTCATCTTAGAATGTCTGGATATAAAAATTTGCCTGGGAAACCTTTTCTATCAACCCTTGAATTCCATTGGCTACTGCTCAATCAATAGGACTCGGAAGCGTATACAGCTCAGATTTGAACTCTTCGGCTTAACTTAGCCTCAGAAAGTCGTTTTTCCTACAACTTGATTTCTATTGGTCAAGGCTCAACCAATGGGCCTTCGGCGCAAGTGGAGTAGAGATTCGAGTTATCCATACTAGAAAACCTTCGATTATCACCTCTATGATCGGAAGATAGAGTTCCAATTGGGGACCGATTGGAGCGTGCACAAAAACCGAACCGATTCCCACTTATTTATCTTACCAATAGGTGAGTTCATCTTCTTGTTTCTTAATGTTTTATATATCATTTTGTAGCTATTGAAATTCTCTATCGAATGGTAAATAATAGTTGGGGTTTTAATTGACTATGATAGGAAAAGTCTTTTACGAAAGTGGCGATGGGTCAATTTTTCCATAGGAAACCATAGGAGAAAATGGGTATTTTTGCAATAACTCAGGAACGGCTCGGTCAGTCCTTCTCATCTTCGAACTCGATCGAGATATTGTAAAGACTGAACCATGTAGAAAATTTCATCGTGATCGGACTCTCCTTTCAAAAGTTATCATGTAAACGGACGGCCGGACGGACACACTAACCGATTCTAGAATGTACTCACTTTTTGAATACACAAAAAAATCATTAAGTTAAATTTATTAAATCTAGATCTGTATTGCTGATTGTTTGTAACAACAACATGAAGCTTTCAAAAACGTACTTGTTTGAATGTTTCGAGTTTTTACAACGTCAATTATAATTCCATTGATTTCATGTGAAAGGTTAGTTAGAATGATTTGATCAACAATATCATAACTAAGAAGAGAAATTAATTGAATCTAGTTAATGATATAAATGTGAAATTAAAGAATATTACTGTTGAAATTTAAGAATTGCTTCATGTTCATCATTCCATTGAAAATTAATAATTTTACCGAATCTTCCAAAATATTCATTAATATTAGATTCAGTAAGATCTTTTAAGGTTTTCTTTTGATTATTTTTTTCAGATATTTTGATTAACAAAAACTGAGTCATGTTTCCTGACAGTGGAATATCTCTAGGATTATATCGTGATATACGAAAGGATTTATTATAAACTTTTATTGAACCAATCTTCATTAATTCATTCAATTTTCGTTCATTTTCGAAATTTAAATAAACTTTTCTTACTAGTGTGCCATCGTTATCTGTTCAATGAAGATTATTTTAACAAATTAAATAAACACATACACTTATTTGATAACTTACTATAAGGTTTACCCTCATGGAACTCAAATGAAACTATACCCATAATGTGTTGAATAGCTTCTTCAATATCTGCTTGTGTAATTGATGTATCAACATCATGTATTATGAGGGTAAGACGAATTAGTTGAAGTTTGTCTTTCGTTGCCATTTGTATATTTATATAGAAAAATGATGAATAATATCTTAAATGAAATTAAAAGACGTGAAAATTTATCTTTCTCTGATGAATAGCAACTGTGATCAAGAGCGTTAGTATAGTCAAACCAACAAGTGACAGAGAGAACATGAATGTCGATGTGGGTGTGGATTAGACTTCTGCAAAATGGTCACGGTCACGGTCACGGTCACGGCCTCTCGTGACCATGACCGTGACTAGTTCTCGAAAAATTATCGTGACTGGGGTCGTGACCGTGACCAAATAGCTCATGATCGTGACCGAATAGCTCGTGATCGTGACTTATTGGTGATAAATTTTAATATTAAAAATCTGATTTTTCGGAAAAAAGAAACAAGATTTGAATTGATTTACGAGTTTTCTTTGTTTTATTACAGAAGAAATCTACGAAATCAATTTAAATCTTTATTTTGTAGCACAAAAAGCAAGGTAGTAATCCAAAATCCCCGTGACCGTGACTAGTTTCGGAAAATTTTCGTGACTATGAACGTAACCGTAACCAGACAGCTCGTGACCGTGACGTGACCGTGACCAGGCAGCTCGTGACCATGACGTGACGTGACTGAAAAATCGTGGTCACGCAGAAGTCTAGTGTGGATGTATGGGTGTGGATGTGGGTGGGTGTATGGGTGTGGGTATGGGTGGGTGTGGGTGAGTGTATGGGTGTGGGTGTGGGTGGGTGTATGGGTGTGGGTGTATGGGTGCGGGTGGGTGTGGCTTCGGGGTGTGGGTTTGGGTGTGGGTGGGTGTGGGTGTATGGGTGTGGGTGGGTGTGAGTTTGGGGTGTGGGTGTGGGTTTGGATGTGGGTGTGTGGGTGTATGGGTGTGGGTATGGGTATGGGTGAATGTTAACAATCAAAGTGCCCACACCACACACCCACACCCGCACCCACACCGACCCACACCCACACCCACACCCACCCACATCCACACACCCACGCCCCACACCCACACCCTTGTTTCGGCTGTGTTTCGAAAATAGGGATATTTTCGATACAAGCTAATAGCTCAGTAAGGGTACGTTTGTCCTGGCTCAAACTTTGGGAGTTTTCTAATGACTATGAGAGCTGTCTATGGACAAAATTTCAGCTCGAAATTCGATCATTCAGATTCTCATGGAATCTCATGTCTATAGACCAAAAATCCAGTAAAAGGTCCATAAGTCAATAACAGAAGACCGGATAACCAAACCAAAATAGACTCGTTCACTGCTTACCAAAATCGATCGAATGGCAATAGAACCAAGCGAAAAGCGACTTGACAGTTGGGGATATTCCCTCGTGAGTCTTGTAGTTTCAATTCAATAGCTAATACTTTCTTTCAGAATAATCGTCAAGCATATGGAACACAAATCATTTTCATCTAACAAAATGACTGATTAAGTTGTTGAGTTGGAGAACGTATATGTAACGTTGCAAACCTTCTAAAATACGAGTATTGATATCATGCACTGTGAACTGTAGAACTTCCTGTGAAATGAACCCGAGAAATCTAAATATAAAATTTATAGTAACATTCGAGTTTTCAAACAAAATGTAAATATGGAGACATAAAAAATATTTTACTTTATTGCACTAAATTCTGATACACAAGAGACTAGAAAATCTGTTAGTGTGAATAGTAAAACTTTTCTCTATTGCTTGTCGGATCTACTCTGTTTAAAAATGTGTTGGCGTTAAGAAAAAGAAAATTGTAAATGATTCTAATGTTTCTTAATGAGAGAGTACATATAATTTTCTCTCTTTCGATATCGACTACTTACTATAGAGTTTCAATACAGTTTTGGAAATACACTTTTGATCTTTTAATACTGTATCAATTATGGCAAATACAATACCTAAGTCTTAATCGTAATATAAGCGATGTTCTGTATTTTTCGAATAGAGTATATAAATCTGAAAGTGCAATGCATAAAACAAATAAAAACAAGAATAAATAGAAAAGAAATGTGTCATTTTTATTTTTGAACTTTAGCAAGGTTATCGTCTTCTCACACTCTACATCTTAGGACGGTAAAACATTTTTTGATAACAAGATGAACTTTTATCTCCAAAATGATGATGAACTAAAAATAAGAAACAAATTGTAATTCATTAGATTCGTCCTAATCGGTATTCTTCTCATGCATATCCACACATGTGAAATTAACTTACTATCGATAGGATCAGTCTTTAAACAAAGCCAACAAAAAGAAATACCGCATTTACACTTGACTGCATTACATCCTTCATATCGATCAATGACCTGTTTACACGATGGGCACGGTTTCAGTTCCAAATTTCCTGTGAATCCAACATTAAAAGTAGTAAAAAACTTTTCATCTCAAATGATGCAAACTTACCTATATTTACCATTAATTCACCTTCGTCTTTTTTCAAGTTTAAAAGTTTTTGATATTGTTCACATGTTACACCCATATGAAACTCTACTTCACATTTAATACAATAAGTCTTGAGACATGTATCACAAAAGTATGAGTCTGGATGTTTTGATTTTCGGTAAACCTAAATTAAACAAAGTCAATTCTCATTCGAATATTTTAAGTATTGCTTGTTAGCAAAATAGGTAGCTGCTTTCTCAATAAAATCCAATTTCAAAATACTATTTGTCTTTCTTTTTAGGAGTATACAAAATCTAGGTCACGAACTCAGATCAAATGATCTAAAACACTGCTGAGATAGTTCTTTTGATACGAACTGATCTGATTGAACAGATTGTCTCGGAGAACTGATCTGTTCGAACAGTTCCATTTAAAAAACCCGATCTGCTCAAACAGATCTTCTGAGAGAACTGATCTGTTTCAACAATTCCTTGGAGAAGAACTGAAGTGCATGAACAGTTCAGGTCCTCGAACCGATCGATATTTGAGAAGACCTAATATCCTTAGATGCCTAATTTCGAGGATTACTCAAGACCTCTAATGTATACCATACGAGGAGAGTACACAGGGCCCCTAATACTGACTATACTAGGGTGCCTAGGGTCCCTAATAGTGACGAGAGGAGGGTACTCAGGGTCTCTTATGTTGACTATAGGAGGGTACCTAGGGTCCTTTATCTTGAGTATAGGAGAGTAGTACCCTTCTATACTCAGGATAAGGAATCCTGGGTATCCTCCTCGTATGGTATACACTAGAGGTCTTGAGTAATCCTCGGAATTAGGCATCTAAGGATATTAGGTCTTCTCAAATATCGACCAGTTCGAGGACCTGAAATCTTCATGCAGTTCAGTTCTTCTCCAAGGTATTGTTGAAAAAGATCAGTTCTCTCAGAAGATCTGTTCTTTTGAAAGGAACTGTTCGAGTAGATCAGTTCTTATCACACATTTTGTTGAACAGTTCATCAGATCGTAACTAAAACTGAATTTGTGCACTCCTATTTTTTTACCGGATGTTAAATAAAAGTAAGATAATTTGATCGAGATGGCAATAGGATATCAAGAACCTCTAAGTGCACAATACTCTGTTGAAGCATCATTTATCGACTAGAGACTAAAGTTCAGCAGATTTTATTATGTTTTCAGCTGCAGTGTGTCCCAAATATCGCTTGGACAAAATATTTTCTCGTTTGTTCTCTACATCATTAGATGTAATTGATTATATTTTTTAAATGGTGAGTGCCTCTGCCAAGTTTTTATTCATACAATCAAACTTTATAGATATTGTTTAAACGTGTCACCTTTAACTGAAATACACACATTCAGTTTTTTATTAATTTCCATAAGAAACATTGTGCGGTGTTTCTTTTTCTATTGCTTCAATTTCCACCGTTATTGTGTTCTTTAAATCAACAACTTCTAATAGCGTTTTCCAAAGGAACATCAGACATATTTTGGTACTGTACATGTCGTCTGACTGTTATAAGAGACTTCAGCTGAGCCATTAGCATCATAATTTGAGTCCATGATTGTAAATAAAGCGGCATATCGGTTTGTTAGAAATGATACACATGAGATTACTTTACGGTCATTTAGAGAAGGATTAGACAACTTTCTAACGAGTATAAATGACTATCACATGATTTGTTAAAAACCGGTTCTCCTGTACATATCTCGAAAGGATTTTGTTCTTGGCTGACCGAAAAGTTCGATGATGGATGGATTGGAAAAGGTGAAGCAATTTCATAGGCCTTGAGATCCTAGACTTCACATCATTCGATTTGTTCCTATGAGGACTCATCAAAACGAATATGTATAAAGCGAAAGTGAAAGATATAGTTGGTTTAAAGTTGATTATATAGAACAAGCAGAAAATAATAAAATTTTCCAATAGATTTTTCGACTTTTTATCGACTACCTTATTTAATATAATATCTAAATAATATTGGTATTCGTATTCATAAGAAAATTCTTATCTTACTTGTTTACAATCAGTACCCATGCATTGAACTATATCTGTATCTGTCTTGAGAAAAGCTTGAAATGATGCACGTGCTAATCTCTGCATATCTGGTGGATCAATTATTGTTTTAATGTCTCGTAGTGAGAGTACTGAATTACATTCTTGCATTATGCATTTAATCTTAAAGCTCTGATTGCTAAGTGTTGTATCGAATTTTTTTGATAATTCTTGTTTAAGACAATATAAACATGAGACATGTCCACACTCTAATAAAGTATAATTGGCCACTTCATAACAGATTGGACATTCATTGCTGGTCGTAGTTGTATTCTCTTTAGGTCCTGATTGTTGTTCTATAAGTGTTTCTGACCAATGCTTTTTAATTGCTTCTTCAGCTTTTTCAATGTCCTGTTGTTTACCAATAACTTGTATTTGACGTTTAGCACCTGCTATAATTATTTTAACATTGAAGTCCTTTCCAATCGTATCTTGATAATATGTACCCAATTTTAGTATCTGTCGTAGGTAACCTGTTATTGCAATGAAGAATAACAGACTCATTAGAAAAGCTAGAAAGAACATATTAATAATGTCGACAAGTAATTACCTTTGGGAATGTCTAATGTGGTTGTGAAATCTCTATGTTTTAGAATATCCTCTATATATTCATCAATGCATTTTGCAGCTGTATCAGGTGCTTGATTATCGCCGTAAATTCGTAGGAACAAATATGAATAGCTACATGATATATAAGTATTAGTTTCGTTTTGAATTTTTTGTAAGACTGCCGCACCATCACGATCGAAAAGAAATCTTATCTAAAAGAAATCGATGAAATTAGTTATATTGAAGAAACCTACAAAGACGAGAAAGAAAAACTCGGAAATGATTGTTTTTAACAACTTAATCACTGTTTTGTTGGACTTTAAGTAATTGTTGACACTGTTTTCAAATACGACCAGAACTCTTAAGTTTTAATACTTGAAAACGAGTTGTTCATTATCAGAAAAGCCTTCATTGTGAAATCTTAATTAAGTATAGCAAAAGCAATCAGTTGTGTTCTATAATCTTTAATAGATCTTTCCGATGATCTCAGTAATAATTTTAGGATTCATGAATTTCGTCAATGTAACACGTAGATTAACTGATAGTACGAAGATATATTCGAGAACCTATCCTCCTCGCTTATATTCAACATTTATATTCTTCTGTGATATATGGTATAGGTCCATCAAACTTTTTCAATTGGTGAGAGTCCACTGTACTTTCGTCATTGGTGAAAAACTTGTAAACAAAGTTCAGGTAAGACATAATTTCAAAACAGAAAAAGATGATATTTCGTAGTTTACGACATCGAATAATTAACAAGAAGAAAAAGAAAATGGCTGCCTACAAATGCATCTAACAAGTCCTGGATACCACTCTTCTAATACTACATTGACTGGCAATAAAATAAAATTAACTAGAAATAACTGTATTCGCAAAACTTACTTTCCCTGGATCTTCTTTATATCTATATTCCATTCCTTTCATCAATGTGTCAAATACAATTTTAGCCATTGTAATCTGTTGTACATCGTCACCTTCAATACGTATTTTCATTGGAGCTGTTTTTTCTTCTGTTCCTAGAGATATAACTTTGATGCGAATTCTCTTATATTTCTCACGAGTATATTGAATAGCTTCTTGAATCTTATTAGGAATAACTTTTGTCAAAGCTGCGTTTATAAATATTTGATGTACAATTGATAGAATAAGACGTAATTTACTTGAACTTTTAAGTAGTTGAATTACTTGATTATCATAATTTTGTATAGCTGTTGTAATATCAACAGCATCATTGAAAATGATCAATGTTGTAACAGTTCCATCAGGTGCGCAAAATGGTGGCTGATACTCAGGTATTGATCGAAATAAATCTAGTTTACTATGAAACATAGAGCGAAGATTTTCTAAGGCAGCTTCTATATCAGATTCACCAGTGTTTATTCCTGTCGTTATCAAATTTTTCTCTTTCAATTTTTGACGGTAGACTACCACATGTTTTACGTCATCATACAATTGATTGTCTTTTAGAATTTTAATCATATCATATTTATCAAATGATCGATCAACACGTTCAAAATGAAGGACATATTCGTCTTCTTTATTCGCCGAAACTTCTTCTTTTTGCTTATGAAATTGTTCCGATAATCTTACTCTACCATGACCGATGATTCCTGTTTTTCCATTGATTTCTTTAACTGCTTCTTGTAATTCTCTTCTATCGGAAAATTGAACAATGGCTTCTACTCTACCATTCGAAACTTTTGGATTAAATAATATTGTATCTTGTTGAAATGATTTATAATGACTAAATATTGCTTTAATTCTAGCTTCTGCTGAATCAGGTCTTTGAAATACTTGTCCTTTTATTCCACGTAAAATATGTACTCCAATAAAACCTTTGCAATCTTGAAAACGACTGTATATATCTTCTTCATCGTCATCTTTTGAAAAGCCTTCTAATAGTAGTGATGCTTCATGATTCCGTCTATTTCCTACAATTTTAGCCGTTTCTAGAAAATGTATTCGGCAACGAGCGTTGCATGCATCCAAACGTGATTGGAAGTTTATAAAAGCTTTTCCATTACTTCTAACAAAGCAATAAGTAACTTTTACTGTAGGTAGATTAGTTACATGCTCATAACGACATCGATAATGTAGACGTTTGAATAGATCATAAGCATCATGAGCACTTTTTTCTTTATTAAACAAAATTCTTCCATTGCCAGTGGATGATGTCAGATACCATATAGCTTTCAAATGACAGTTATGTTTACTTACATTAACTGCATTCTTCACACATGAACGACTAACAGCTATTTTATGATCTTGTTCAACATAGCCATTCAATTCATTTAAAGCGATACGTGCTTGTTCGAGTGCAGCATATGTAACGGCAAAAATCGCACCATCTTCAGTGTATTTAATAAAATCAATTTTACGAACTAGAATAATTAGAGTATAAGTAAAAACAAAATCATTAGCTTTCAATTTTTATCTTTTCTTATTACAAAAGAATTACTGCATAAAGAATGCGCATAGCTCACTTCTTCATAGTTTCAATTTTAAAACATTATTTTCCAAGGTTTACGATGTTATACGACGGAGATCTTGTAAAAAAACTAGGATTTTATTATTTGTCTGTGCGAGGAATTCTACAAAAAAAAAACTTTCGAGTATTTAGTATTTTGATTATAATACGATTATTTCTCAATAAAATTCAAAATATTTTTATTCTTATTAAAATGATCATCAAGAGAAAATTTTAAAAGCCCGGCGAAAGGGAAATTTTTCTGCATACTTCGCGTATTTCTCGATGAACTAACTGTGAAAGTATTCTACAGGTATAATATCATCTATATTTTTGTTAATGCTGTAGTTTGTTTTTCTTATGTACATCATATCCGAGAGTTTTCTCGAATCGAGCAATTTTTTACGGATAATACCTGTTACATATAACTGGATTAAATTTAACATGTACAGTTTCAATATACAACTCAAAAGAACAAGGTGAGGTCAGACTTTTGACGTGCTCTGACGATAAAGGCTTTCGAAATCACTACTCTTAAATTAATTACAGAAAGTAATTTATGCTATGTATATTGGAATGCGTTTCTTCAAAATATTTTTATCGAATGCTGCAGAAGTATAACATAGAAATAGTTCAAATATTGCAGTGACATTATTGACATAATACAAATCAATGCGTGTTTATTTTTTCTATAATCTGCTGATATTTCTCTTGCACTTGTTATGAGACGCAGGGAGAATCCAAAGCCAAATAAATGATAGCATAATGTAAAGAAGGAATTCAGATAAACGAAAGCTCTTACTTCTTCTATATCGTATAGAAAGGAATATTTACGAAACCAAATCTATTCAAAATTTTATCTAAAATTGAAAACCAGATTAAAATGGGTACTTACTCAATCCAAATGGTGCACATAAAGTTCGAACCCTTTCTTCTGTTATCGTTGTCGGTAACTTTGTTATGATAATTTTAACAAAATCATCTGCGAATAATACCATTTCACTAATACCACCTGCACCCATTAAAATACGGGTTCGTCCGACAATTTGCATTTCTTCAGCTTCCAACAATAATTTTTCTTTTTCTTTTTCAATTGTTTCTTGAACGATTTGTTTTACTTTACTTAAATTAGTTGGTTGTGACCAAACTGTTAATTTTGATTGTTTATAATCAATATCAATAATAGCTTGAGTAATATCTTCAAGTTTATTTAAACGGCAAGAATGTCTACCGACGATTGCTCGCAATAATGCTTCTCCTATATTTTCGAATATAAAACTTTCATAAGAAATTGTATGTAAATTAGCTGCATTTACATCTTTGTACCAATCTTCTGAAACAGATTTTAACCAATTAAGATCAATTGAAGATAACACTGTGAGATAATTAGTTCCACGATCACTTAACAATTCATTGAATAAAATATACTTGGAGATTTGATCATTTAATGATAAAGTTGATGTAGGAAGTGCACGTGCTCTTATTAATTCATTAGCCATTTGTGAGTAAGCAGAAATAATTCGATAGCCAAATCTCACTGATCCATTCGACACAGCTAAATTCATAAAATAAGCAGCTGTCATACATTGTAAAAGACGATTAATTACATTGTCATTTAAGCCTGCACTATCAAGAAGTTCTAATCCATAGTTCATTTGTTTAGCCTTTTCTTTAATAAATTCATGAGCTCTTTGTAATGATTTTTCATTAATACAGTTACTTTTACACCATTCATATTGTTCTCTTTTATTTTTATTTTTAGTACAAAATGCACTCCATTTCAAATATATATTAATTAATGTAAGATGATCACCACTTTCATGACTAAATTCGGCACGTGCTCGTGAAATCATACCTTTAGATTCCTCATCTTCACTAAGCCACCAAATATTCTGTGATATGGTTAGCATACCAGCTAGAATCAATGTATATAATAGACAATCAAGTTCTTGTCCTTTGTATAGCATGACTGCAAGTTTTGGGTCAATATCGAGTGAAGCCATATTTCTGCCAAGTGGAGTTAATGTACCTTGTGAATCAACTGCATTTAGCCAAATCAGTAGTTGATTAGCTTCTTGAATATTAGAAATCGGTGGTGACTGAAGCCATTCAAATGATTCGATATTATCAATATTTAAATTCTTTAGTATCAGTGTAGCGATTGCTGGCTGAGTACATAGAATTTCTGCTTGTGAGCATTCGTCCATCGCTTCGTATGTTTCCATTGTGTATAAATGGTAGCACTGGAAATAGAAACAAAGAATATTGTCAGCATAAGCTTACTAAAATTAAACAATCAAATATGATTGATTTATTTAAGGGTCCCGCCTGACAGCAACGTAAATCTTTGTCCAAGTTATGTATTGCATATTCTTGAATGCACTATACTTTATTGGTTCTATGATAACTTTTGAGGAACTTTTATGAATTTCTTTGACTTTATCCTACAGAAAAAGATAATCATTATTTTTAAAAGGTGATTCTAATTAACTCATTGGAAGATATAATAAGCACACATGATAATGACAACAATTCTATTTTAATATATTTTTTTCTCATCATTTCAATCACTTTAACCATTGATATACGAGAAACTACCTGAATATTTTTAATAATATCAGTTTATAGAGTAAAAATTCTTTAACTTTATTTTGCGTTTTTCACAGAACAGAGTTTTTGTCTTTTGTGTTTTCTTGCGTTCCAGGTTCTCCCGCTAAATAAAATGTTAGAACTCTGGAGTTGCTGTCAAAATGTAGACGATGCTAAGCTCTACAACTTAGTAGAGTACGATTTTCCAAAGCGCCCTTTAACATTTGCTAAAAATAATAGATCTCAGGAAACTCAAGGTAGGTAAAAATCGAAGAAACACCTCCGTTAAGTTGTAGCAGTAGATGTTGGCGACGCATTAAAACCAAGCCGAACTTTCTATCGTTTGACATGGCTGAAAATTCTGGGATGCACAAACAGTTGTATTTTCACCGTGATTCGTAAGCTAACTCTTTGAAGATTCAATTTATCGGGTTGAAATATTTACTGTAAGCTATCAGAATTAAAAC